AAAATAGGAGAATGAGCAGGAAAGGCCTGCAAAGAGCAGGAAGGGCCTGCAAGGAGCAGGAAGGAGCACAAAGGTAAAGGAGCAGAAAGAATCAGAAGGAGAACAAAGGTAAAGTAGGAGAAGGAGCACAAAGGGACAGCAAGGAGCACAAAGATAAAGTAGAAAAGGGAGCAGAAAGGGTCTGCAAGGAGCAGAAAGGGATCAGAATGAGAAAGGAGCAGAAGGGTGCAAAATAAGCAGAAAGTAGCAGAAAGGTAAAATAGCAGAAGGGGCCAAGGATAGAAAACAGTGTCAGAAGATAAAAAAAGACTGTCAATTGGAGAGGAAAAGGAGATTGGAGCAGGAAGGACAAATGAAGTGAACCCTCCACTTTATTCTGGACACCACATCATAAGGCTTTGGTACCTGGGCCAGGCAGGGAAACGCTGGACCTTCTCATCTCCAAAGGTAAAAAATATCAGTATTAATGTGTTCACTTTTATTTACTGAGTGTCAGGAAGCACAGAGTGCCGTTGGGTAGGGGTGTTGCTGATTGGCTAGAGCGGTCAGCTGGCACTCTAAGCCAATCAGTAGCTCCCCATTCATAAAAAAGTAAAAATATTTTATGAACCGGGAACTAGCGATTGGCTTAGAGCGTCAACTGTCCACTCTAGCCAATCAGCGGCACCCATGCCTGACGTCAATCTGCACTTCCTGACACTCTGTTTCAGAAGCCAAATACCACTGAGCGACCTGGAGCTGGAGGAAGCCTTTGGGGTTAAACCATTTGAGAGTGATTTAACCCCTTAAAGGAAAGCGAGCACCCAGGGGCTTCCTGGCATCATAGCATTTTCATTTAGGTGAAGTTGTTATGGTGACCAGAATGGTCCTTTAATTTGCTTAAAGGAACACTATAGTGTCAGGAATACAAACATATATTCCTGACACCATAGTTGTGAAAACGCTATTCACCCTGGCTTTATGTGATAATGGCTATGCCCCTTCCCTTTCATGACACTGTCAAAAAGGTACCAAGCATGGATGTCATTACAATTATGCCCCCCCCCTGGAAAAATTCCTGCGGACGCCCATGGTTATACACCATTCCATACGTTCTACGTTTTTACACTTGGCATACCATGGCATGCCTCAGGCCTACTGGCATCTTTCTTACCCCTAGGTTCCTGGACTGGACCTGTTCTTCACAGTATATATAGACATATATATTGAAGTCGCCCTGACAAACACTCAAGGTCAGTATCTACATACGTTATATACTTCCTTCAAGAGACAAACCCCCGTCAGGGTAGAGAACTGGCTTTCAGGGTTAGGTGCTGGCCCTAGCTTCCCCTAATAATACTGCGGTCCGTGAGGTCTACACCCCTACCTCATACATGGAGGTTCAGCCCCACAACCAAATCATAGCTAGCCACCTCACTCGCTCTTCTTTAGGGCTACAGTTAGGGCTTCCCATGTCACGGCCACACGTTTTTGAATCTCTAACAGTCACTGAGAGGCCGACATCCTGCCACCTTGTTCTGGTGGCCACGAAACCCCCTTGGCCCAAATCAGAGGTAGAGCCTCTCACCGCCGCTTGGCAATAGCAGGGCCTCACCTGTCACTTGGTTCTAATTATAATTCTTCACTTCGACATTAGCTAGCAGGCCAGTCCTCCCATCCCACCTCCACTATACCCTACTTATCCATATCATTATTCCTTTCAGAATGTCTCAAGAACCAATCATCGATCCTCCATCAGACGATGTACCCAGCACGCCAGCCAGGCCTGGGTCTCTGGAGGAATCCCTCACTCCTTCTACTCCCAGATCCCTAAGATATTGGACCATTCCAAAAATATCGGCTGAGCTCAGGCTCAGGGGGATCCCCTTTCCAGCCACCGCCAGAAAAACAGACCTTAATCAACTGCTGACGACTCAGGCCAAAGACCCAAGGCCCGACACGAGTTCACAAGGGCCTCCAGTTGGCTACTCTGATTCCACTCTGGTGGCTATACTGGCCAATCTGCAATCCATTAACAGCAGGTTGCTGCAGGTGGAATCGGCCATAGCCACTCCAGGTGACAAAACAGCCCCAGCAGTCCCTACACCGGTGACCTCAACCGCTTGGAGTGCCATACCCCTCATCTCCCCTCCCCCTACCCCACCAGCTACTACCACTCCCACGGCCCACGCCTCACCAGACCACTCTGTCCCGGCTTCCATCAAGAAAGATATTCATGATGGAAAGGACATCAATTTAATGTCCCTCCTCATAGCCTCCCAAGACGTCCTAGAAAATAGAGCATATAACTATGGGGACATTTCGGTTGTCTTAAGAGCTAGAGACCCACGTTTGAATAAAACTCACCATCCCACAGTTTGTTATTGGTTTGGCACTTATCGCGACGTTATCTGCACGGTGTACCCACATAGGAGAGAAGAGCTTGATTTATATATGCACAAGGTGATTGATTTGG